GCTGGCGATTCTCCACCAAACTCTGCAGCGCTGGCAGAGGCGCCATATTCATTGTACATAGTGTATATAATGCATATTATCTTTTTTTAAAATAGTGCAGACTGTGCACTTTGCATGTATTGAAAAGATGTTAATAAAATTATTTTAACTGTCATTGATGAGGAATTGGAATTTTCAAAACATATAATTAGCACCTCAAATAGAGCTACCAGAAAACTAAACATTCTGAGATGGCTATGTGGAACAAATTGGGGAGAAAAACCCAGAATTCTCAGAATAACATATTTCACCTTAATAAGGCCGATAATGGAATATGCAACACCGGTCTGGGCGCCCTCAAGCTCATCGCTAAAAGTAAGACTAGGCAGTGTTCAAGCAAAAGCGGCCAAAATAATCACTGGCGCTGTTTCATCCACCAATAATGAGAAAATTCAGAGAGAATGTGTTCTAGACCTACTCGCTCGAAAGCAGAAGATAAAATAAAAACAACTTGGATCGGCACTTCGGAAACGAGGAACCAGAGGACGAGATCTCTCTGACCACTTGTGGTTTGGTGGATCCGCCCTTTTCTGAAAATGAGGTGAAACTGACGGCTTTCAAGTTCGGGAAAAGGAAATCTCCTGGTCCCGAAGGGATCGATAACACGGTCGTGAAAGCCCTGTTGAGAATGCACCCATCACTTCTTGCCAGGTTTTCAATAGGTGCCTGGACACTGGAACTTTTCCTGAGGTATGGAAGGTTGCCCGAGTAGTGCTTCTCGAAAAGTCTGGTAGAAAGGGTAATTCTCCTAATGATTATCGTCCGCTTTCTTTACTAGTGTGTCTAGGTATGGTCCTGGATAGCCTACTAGCTAAGCGACTGAAGCACTGGCTAGAGAGTAATGAGCTCCTTTCCTCTTTCCAACATGGTTTTAGGGAAGGGAACTCCACAACCACAGCTCTGAACGAGGTGTTAGAGGGGGTTGAGATGGGCTTAAATATGGGTGCTTGGGTTCTTCTCGTGGCCCTGGACATTGATGGCGCGTTCAACTCCATGAGATGAAACAAGCTAATGAGAAATTTGATGGACTTGGGTTGTCCTGATAATTTGTGCAGCTTGGTTCGTGACTTCCTGAGGGATAGACGGATTAGCCTCAGTTTTGGTGGGCGGAAGTTGGAAAGAAACTGTGCTAGGGGTTGCCCCCGGGGCTCTTGCTGCGGACCTATTCTGTGGAATATCCTGGTAAGCACCGTTTTCCAGGAGGAGCTCCCTGAGGGAGCCAGGCTGTTTCTCTATGCTGACGACCAGTTCCTCATCATTGAGGCTGCTTCGAGAGCGAAGGTTGAGAAGTGTGTTGAAGCTTCTCTCCAAATCCTCTCGAACTGGGCCCATGACTCTGGCCTTAAGTTCAATGTCTCCAAAACTAAAGCCCTCAGCTTAAAGCCTAGGGACATAAGAACTAAAAGGAAAGGGATCAAATGGTGGCACAAGCCGGCTATCTGGATGAAAGGACGGAGGGTAGCGTTGGTCAATAGGATGACCATCCTGGGGGTGGTCATTGATGACAAGATGGGTTGGCAATACCAGGCGGAGGAGATGGTGGCGAGGGGCAGGGAGGCGTTGTGCAAGCCTGTCCTGGTTGGCTCTCAACAGGGGGGGGGAGAAGGAGGGTACTATTTTTAGGAACCTCTGCCTCTCCTGTGTCGAGCCAATCCTGCTATAACAGGGATCAGAAGGTGGCAACAACTCTAGAGAGTGTGCAGAGGACAGCGGCACTCAGAATCACCGGGGGATATCGCACTACCAGCAGTGAGGCCTTTTTGGTCCTCGCTGGGCTTATTCCTCTGGGATTGAAACTAGAGGAGGAGACCATCAGACATAAGATCTGGGAGAACAGGGAAGATGCCCTGGGACTTAAAGCGGGTGCCCTGGAATGGAAGAGGGACCCAAGGAAGCCTCCGCAGTGGTTGCCAAAGTGGAATTGGAGTCCTGGAGGGCCGACAGGGATTGGCACGGAGGTTTTCACTGATGGTAGTAAGTCTGGAACCAATACTGGAGCTGGAGTAGTGATTTTCACTAATGGAGAGCTGATCTTCCAAGAAAGCTTAACACTCAGAGTGGACGAATTGGTCTTTTCAGCTGAGCTGGTTGCGATCAGGGTAGCCCTCAGAGTGTGTGCCGAGAAGAAATTGAGCCCGGACCGCCTCTATTCAGATTGTATGTCGGCCCTCGTCGCCATCAATCTGGTGAAAGGGCAACTCGCGCATCAAATAATCCAGGAGCTGGAGATGATAACGCGGGCTCCGGAGCTCCATTGGGTTAGGGGATACAGCCTCATCGAAGGTAATGAGTTCGCAGATAGGCTCGCTAAGGCAGGATGCTTTAGAGGTAGATCCCTGAGGACCCCAGTGACCATGAAAGATGTTTATAGTAGGATCAGGGGGCACGTCCAGGACTTATGGTTGGACAGATGGAGGAACAGTGTGAAGGGGAGAGAGGTATTCAATTGGGTAACAACACCCAAGTACCTCTGTAAGGTAATGTCCCACAAACTCATTAGGGTATTTCGGGACATGGGCTCTTCCCCAAGTCTCCACAGATTTAAAATTAATTGAAACCCTGATTGAGTCTATGGAGAAAGGGATGTGGATGCACGCCACTACGTCTTGGATTGTCCAAGGGTAGTGGGTGTGTAGGAAGAGAGTATGAGGTCGAGGGGCGCGATCGAGAGTAAGCTGCTGAGAAACCACAGCAGACTTCTTGAGAAAGCCCACGACGTGGCAGCTGAGCTTTTCCTCAGCTGTGAGTGAACAGAGTCGACCGGGGGCCGCCTCCCCGCGGTCCCTGCTGGACACAGTAGATAGTTTCCTCTTTTGCTGTGATTAAAGGCCACCGGTATAGAAATCCTTTCAGACACGTTGTCTGGGAGGTGGTGTTTCCAGGTACAATGTCCAAGCACTAGCTTGGATATCGTTACTTGGCTTATGAGTTGAACAGAATAGCAGCGAAGTGCATGCTTCGGATGCCGGCTTGAGGACCGAAAGGTCTGGGTGGCCATCTGCTTCTAGGGTGTACCAACTGTGCTTAGATGGGATCTTCCAGTTTTTGTTTATTTTTGTTTTGGCTACTGTTTCTATTTCTTTAAAAGTAAGTTTATTTTTCTGTAGCAAGGGTTCTTTTGTGCCTTTTTCGCTAGCGCATCAGCAGCTTCATTGCCTTCAATGATAACATGTAAGGGAATCCATTGAAAGTGAATTTTTGAGGTATTGAGAGTTTTTGGAGACAACCAATTATGTTCCTGCTTACTTTGTCTCTAAGTTCCCTTGTGTGACTCAAGTGTTGTATGGCACTTCTACTATCAGTAAGAATCCATATATCGTGATGTTTAGTGTTTCTGATGGATTTTAAGGCTTCATAGATGGCTATAAGTTCTGATCTGAAGACTGAGCAAAATTCTGGGTTTCTTCTGTTTATTTTCTCATTGCCATTTGTGGTTTTAATGAGAGAGTCACTGCCAGTGTGTCCCAACTCGTCTCTGCTACCATCGTTATAGATAGTTATTACGTTTTTTTAGGAATTTTATTAATTATTTCTAATGATACTTGTTTTAAGTATTCTGGATTTTGGTATTGTTTGTTGGTGGGTTCATTCAAAGTATCATTAGAAATAATTAATAAAATTCCTAAAAAAATGTAATCGGTAGTTTTGGAAGTGATCATTTGCCTAATTTGATAGAAATTAGCACCAAGACCAAAACCAGCTCAATTAAGAGTATCGGTAGGTCGGTAGTTTTTTGGGTCATCAGCAGATTTGTCAAGTTTTTAAATGGGAATTATTGTTGCATTTTTACAGTCTTGAGGCAATTTTCCAGGTTTCCAGGAGTTATTGAAAATATTAAGAAGTCTTTCTTTGCCAATTTTGCCCAAGTTTGATATCATTCGGCCATGGATTCCATCTGGTCCAGGAGTCTTGTTTAGGTCAGTGTTTTCTAATGCATAAGCTGGCTCTTTCATATTGATTTTTTTCATGGAAAATATTATGAGTGCTGGTGACATTTTTACAGTCATGAATAATCCTTCGGGCCTTTGTTTCAACCTTGATTTTACTACTTATTCGATATGAATTACCTAAAAGATTGGCAGAAATTGTGTCATTAGTTGCTGGTGTACCATCAGTATTCTTAATCATATTTGTTTTTTTCGGTTTGTGACTGGGATCTGTCAATTTGTTTTACCAAATTCCAAAGTTTTGTATTTGGGTTTCTTGGGTTCAGGTTTTCACATGTTTGTTTCCATTTTTCCCTTTTCACATTTACGTATAATTTTTTTATATTTGCATTCACAATGTTCAGTTCAGTTCTACAATTTGTTTGGTTTTGGGTGCTCTTTTTTGTAGTTCATTTTTTTTAGTTATAAGTGTTTGAATATTTTTTGCCTGGTGTGTATAATTTGATATTCATTTCTTAATATTACCTTTTGGTACTGAAGCTGTGGCTGCTTTAATAATGATGTTTTCGATAGATATACAATTAGCCTTTTTGAAGTTCCAGAATTTTTCTTAATTGAGCTGGTTTTGGTCTTGGTGCTAATTTCTATCAAATTAGGCAAATGATCACTTCCAATACTTTTTAATATTTGCTATTTGCATTTGTGGAAAATGTCAGGATAGTGAAAACTTATATCAAGGGCTTGTGCAGTATTATAGCTGTAGGAATGATGGGTAGGATTCCCATAATTTAAGCACATGAAGGCATTGTCGTCAAATATGTTTGATAGTATTTTGCCTCTTGGGTTTGGCGTGGAACATCCCCGTAGTTGATGTTTGGAATTAAGGTCACCTACAATAAGAGTTGTCTGTAAGAAATTGAGCCATTGTTCCATCGTCAATAAGTGTATTGTTTGGAGAGTGATACATCTATAATTCTATAATACAAGTATCAGAGTCATCAAGCAACAATTCTTAATTAATTCTGTCACCGTTTGCTTTGTAAATGGAATAAATACCCAAATATGGCCATTTCTGATAACCAACGGTGGTTCAGTGGTAGAATGCTCGCCTGCCATGGGTTCGATTCCCGGCCGATACATTTTTTTTTTTACAATTTTTGAAACTCATTTATTTAAACTATATTAATTTTTAAACAACTAAATGGATTGCAAAAATTACACTGGTCAACAAGATTTTTGCACAAGAGAACCTGATTATGTTTCTAGTGTAACTTTTCATGCTGAACTCAAAAATCTAATCAGAAATTTCCCATCACCTATGGTTTTTGCGTGACGGTCTTTTTTTAGTATTGGGATAAATACACTAAAAACTGCAAACAATGTCACGTGACTGGTTTATCAAAAAATATTTTTCTTTGTCCACAAAGAAATAGCATCTTATCTACATGTCCTGAATCCAAATATACCATTAGTTTTTTTCTATTACACAATATTTCTGAGATACACCTACTTGAATTTGGAAATATTGTTAATATATAGGCATATATGAACGAAACATATTTATTATTGAAAAGCAGTGACAGTGGATTTTCTTCTATACTTTGCTTGTGGTAGATCCCTCTTGAGTGCCCAGCAGTCGTCGGCAAGCATAGCGGGACTCCATTTACCTTGGTACCGCTTCTCCATGCTTGATATAGCTTGATGAAACCTCTCACCATGCTCATCGCTAACTGCGCCAAGATTGTCTGGAAAAAAATCTAGATGTGAATGCAGGAAATGGATCTTGAGGACATGTTACATCCCAGTGCCTTGTAGGAAAGCAACAGATCATTAACTATGTCTCGGTAATTTTCAACCTTGACACTTCCTAAGAAGTTTTTGCAAACGTTTCTATAGGAATTCCATGCTGCTGCTTCAACTTCATTCAAATATTTTGAAAATTTCCATCCTGCTGCAATTCTCGAATCTGAGGTCCAACGAAAATGCCTTCTTTAATCTTCGCTTTACTTATACTAGAAAATTTTTGTTTTAGGTAGGCAAATCCACTGGCATTTCGATCCATTGCCTTGACAAAGTTCTTCATTAATCCCAGTTTAATATGTAATGGTGATAAATAAATATTTTCTGAATCGATCAGGGGTAGATTTGCAATATCTTTATATCCTGGAGTAAAGATTTTACGGTTTGGCCAGATTTTTTTAATGTAATGCCTTTCCCTATCTCTGCTATCCCACTCACACAGAAAACAGCAAAATTTTGTATATCCAAGCTGTAATCCACGCAAGAGAGGAACGACTTTCAAATCGCTGCATATTTTCCAACCGTATCTTTCATATTCTATCTTTTTCAAAAGCAGTTTCATGTTTTCGTAAGTCTCTTTCATGTTGGATGCATGTATTTATCCCAATACTAAAAAAAGATCGTCAGGCAAAAACCATGGGTGATGGGAAATTTCTGATTAGATTTTTGAGTTCAGCATGGAAAGTTACACTAGAAACACCATCAGGTTCTCTTGTGCAAAAAAAAAGTTTTTTTTGTAGACCTGTGTTATTAAATCAAATACCTAAACACTAATATAATACAATTTTTGCCATTACACACTTTTTTCACTGTAGTTTATGTGTTTCTTCTGTATTGCTATTCTATGGCACTTCTACTATTTATTATTGATGTACTTTCAGTATGAAGGATACTTCACTCGGGAGATTTCTCGGGCGAAGCCGAGTCATTCTTCTAGTATTGCATATGTTGATGGCTTTGTTTTGATTGAGGTAGACTTTGATATATTGGGCTTCGAGGTCTAATGTGTTTGAAATATTAACGGCTATGTCCGCATAGTACAAATTCTTTATTAAAAATGCTAGGCCATCCCCTTTAACAGCATATACAGATGGATCTTCAGACCTTACCCTGAGTTATGGAGGGGCCGGAATTAACATAATACTGCAAGATGGAACGCACATCAAAATCAAAGAAGGAGCAGGGCAGATTTCGTCAAACTTCACTTGTGAACTGACAGCTATCTGGAAAGCCCTTGATGTATGCCTTAACCAACCATCCCTGCATCAAGCAGAAGGAAAGTTAATATACAGCGACTCCATATCCGCTCTAGAAGCATTTCAGAAGGGCAATACTAAAATCACACAGAAAATACACTCGTTACTTACCCAACTGGAACCATTGTAGAATAACTGCATTCTACAATGGATCCCTGCCCATGCTGGGATCGGGGGTAATGAAATGGCATTTGAATTGGCAAAGGAAGCCTGAAATTTGAGCCAAAGAAAAGAACAAATGTCATTATTTGACGCTGATTCTTTGTCAAAATACAAGTTAATTGAACAATAAATAAGAAAAGATCAAAATGCGAAATAAACGCTGAGAGAAAAATGACAAAAACTATAAAAAGACTTAGAACAAAACACTATAAAGGAATGACAATACATCCAGATGGCACAATAACCTATAGGGCATGCAACAATTGTCCTGGTGTGGAACTTACCCCTACCCACATATTCTCATAGCCAGCAATGGCCGCAGCCTTGCAGAAATTTGACATAGACCCAGAGCAGCAGCTTTACACACCCAAGATAGTGGACATTGCTGCTGATGTGATGGAGATGCATGGATACATCTGAGGCTCTTTATTGGACACGACAACAACAATGGCATTCCAGAGTAAAATAAATTATCAGAGATAGATTCATATTTTTCAAATGAATTAAAATAAATATAATCGATACTGAGAGAGAGTTGAATTAAAAATATTAGAAATTTATTATCTTCGGAAACAAACCGTATCTAAAATATCAATTTTTTTGCTACATGTTTTAATTTGCATTTACCTATTTTACATATCTCTGATTGTATTTAAAAATCGTTAACCAATTCTTCATACTTTTGGAGAAGTGGTGTTTTATTAATTTGTTATTTGATGTTATTAGGGTTCTTTCCTGGTATTCAAAAAGGAAAAATACGTGTCGATCAGTTATATTTTTCAATTTATCAAACAATTTGGCCACTGAATCTCTGATTCTGGTAGTGCGCCATCTGGCGAATAAAATTATAACTAATATCAATTTCGAATTTTTCATTATTTGCCATAAAAAATCCCATTGCATCCTGAACACAATGGTGTTTACCGCATTGCTCTAGCGCAAATATTCGAGGAGTTATTAATTTTTAAAATAGTGCGGGACTTTTGGATCACCCTGTATATTGGGATTCAGACAATAACTCTGAAAGATACACTCATGGACAAAACTTAAGGAAGTTGTACCTTTCAGCATGTATATTGGGATTCAGACAATAACTCTGAAAGATACACTCATGGACAAAACTTGAGGAAGTTGTACCTTTCAGCATGTAAATCGGGATTGAGACAATAACTCTGAAAGATATTACAGTGACCTTTATTGAAGACATACGAGATAACTAAGTGTAAACAATATTGCCTCTGTCTCAAAAAAAAAAAAAAAAAAACGACCGGCGACATCAAGACTTTCCTCTCCCTTAAGTTTTGTCCATGAGATTTAAAAAATCCTATCAATTAAAATGTTATTTGGCAAATTGCGGCAAATTACATTTGGATTGGTGTAGATGTCATGTCGACCGGTGTTTAAATGAACGCTACGTCCTTGTAAACCACATTCAGGGATTGTGTAGACGCCATGTAGGTACAGTACAACCTGCGGTCGCATGTCAAGGGTCAGTAATCTCTTGGTGACCTTTATGGAAGGGACCAATCAAATGTCACCATTATCTCTCTCCTCAACAAATTAGTGCCCTCTGTTGCTGAAAATTGCTACATATTCTTTTAACTCTACATTTTTATAATTAAAAAATAACTCCGCCTTTGCCTGTCCCAAGCCCGGATGAAAAAGGAGGAGGGGGGAGCAGTAACAAGTTCACTAAAAAACCTGGGCTCAGCTGGCCCGGCTGATAGTACCCTGTAAGGGCTCCTGATCCAAGGATACAGGATGAGCAGCGTTTGTACTCCATGTTAGGAGCGGCTGTACATGGTGTCTGTTCCTCATGTCAGAGGCGACCATTTTTTTTTTTTGGAGCTAAGTCGGCCTGCCACTGAGTAGTGCTCCAAGTCTTAATGACAAAGGCAGACGTATTCTACTTCACCCAGTCATGATGGTTGTCAAACAGACACCATCAACAAGCTTTACAAGCTTGATACCCTAACATTATTGAGTGGAGATAAGAAAGAAGATAATTAAAAAGTATCTCTACACAGACCCCTCCCTTTTACAGCAATGATAGAAAATTGAAACTGGAGGAACTGTTTTAGTTGTGATGAACATACTCTCAGCGGTTTCGCCAGTTTATCACCTCGCTCTACTATTGTATTGGACGGTTTATGTTAATATTCGAGATGTGTGAATCGGTCCTAAGACAGTCTTCAACCAGGCGCTTCTCTTAGATGCTTGAGGACCAACAACGGAATAAAGTTTATAAATAGGTTTTGAGGACGTCATCTACTTGTCCAGAAATACGGAGTTAATTTTTTTTTTTAAATTGGAGCAATCCATAAATAAATATTCAATTAAAAAGGCATATATTGGAACAAAATATCATTTATTTTACCAATATTTCAGTTGGCTGAACGTTAAACTTTATCAAGGTGTTATATATATTCAAAAATATTTTTCAAACTTAATTCTATTAACGTTATGTGGCGCTGAGTTTGTTGTTGACACACTTTTCTTGATTAATCAAGAATGGGGCTAATTCTGGAATAATTAGAAATCAACGAGAATAGTTGATATTTATTCCGATAGATGGCGCAAGCCATCAGCAACTTTCAGTTGCACGATAAGGAGATGCCTTTTTCATAATTTATGCACCTTATCCCAGTACAATATCACATTTGTACTATTTTTCACACATTAAATATGTTATAATACCTTGATAAAGGTTGGCGTTCATGAAATATAGGTAAAATAAATGATATTTTGATTTAATATATGTCTTTTTTTTTTAATTAAAGAGTTAAGTTTGGTTACGGTATTGTTCTTTGCTGGTGTGCACATTTCAATATTTATTTCAATCATCTCGAGATACAAAGAAAGTATACTAGAAACCTCATTATTGTAAATAGTGAGGGTGCCTGGCCGGCATTCATATTTCT